AGGAAGGAGGTGGCAGGCCTTTGAAAAGCGGTCCACAACGACCAGGATGGTGGCGTTACCTTGGGAGAGAGGAAAATCAGTCAGGAAATCAACACTTAGATGAGACCATGGTCATTGTGGAATTGGTAAAGGTTGTAACTTACCCGCTGGGAGGTGCCTAGGTGCCTTACTCTGGGCGCACACCGAGCAGGAGGAGACATACACCCTCACGTCCTTAGCCAAGGTAGGCCACCAGTACTTTCCGGTCAGGCAGCGCACTGTACGACCGATACCTGGGTGACCAGAGGAGGGTGACGTGTGTGCCCAGTAGATCAGACGATCTCGGATAAGAGCAGGTACGTACCGCAGCCCAGCTGGACACTGAGGTGGAGATGGATCTGTGCGTAATGCCTGCTTTATATCCGCGTCCATCGTCCATACTACCGGCGCCACAATGCAGGAAGCCGGGAGTATAGGGGTGTTGTCTCTGGTTCCTCTCCTCTGTGTCATACAGCCGTGACAATGTGTCTGCCTTCACGTTCTTCGTACCCGGGATGTATGACAGTGAAAAATCGAACCGGGTGAAGAATAGGGCCCACCTGGCCTGGCGAGGATTCAGCCTCCTTGCTGCCCGGATGTACTCCAGGTTACGGTGGTACGTCCAGACGAGGAAAGGGTGTTTCGCCCTTTCGAGCCAATGCCTCCACACGGTCAAAGCTCGGACAACAGCCAACAGCTCCCGATTACCAACGTTGTAGTTCTGCTCCGCAAGGGCTGAGCTTCTTAGAGAAGAAGGCACAGGGGCGGAGCTTGGGTGGCGTGCCCGAGCATTGAGATAGGACAGCGCCTATCCCTACCTCGGACGCATCCACCTCCACTACGAACGGTAGTGATGGATCGGGGTGGGCCAGTACCGGGGCTGAGGTGAACAGACCCCTCAGTTTCCTGAAGGCCAGGTCAGCCTCAGCAGACCAGCGGAGCCGGGACGGCCCACCCTTCAACAGAGATGTAATGGGAGCTGCGACCTTGCCAACGCCCTGGATAAACCTCCGATAGTAGTTGGCGAAGCCCAGAAAGCGCTGCACCTCCTTAACCGTGGTGGGAGTTGGCCAATTACGCACGGCTGAAATGCAATCCCCCTACATCTCCACACCTGAGGTGGTAATGCGGTATCCAAGGAAGGAGACAGACTGCTGGTAAAACATACACTTCTCTGCCTTGGCATAAAGCTCATTTTCCAACAGTCGGGCCAGCACTTTGCGAACCAGGGACACATGCTCGGCGCGCGTAGCGGAATACACCAGAATGTCGTCGATGTAGACCACTACACCGCGACCAAGCATGTCCCAAAACACCTCGTTCACAAAGGACTGGAAGACAGATGGAGCATTCATCAAACCGTAGGGCATCACCAGGTATTCATAATGCCCCGTGGTTGTGCTGAATGCTGTCTTCCACTCATCCCCCTCTCGAACATGCACCAGGTTGTACGCACTCCTGAGATCTGTATGGGTGGTCCTCTGTAGCTCAATTGTTAGAGCATGGCGCTTGTAACGCCAGGGTAGTGGGTTCGATCCCCGGGACCACCCATACGTAAAAATGTATGCACACATGACTGTAAGTTGTTTTGGATAAAAGTGTCTGCTAAATGGCATATTATTATTATTATTATCTAATTTGGTGAAGAAGCGCACCCCACGCATTGACTCGATCACTGAAGGAATGAGGGGGAGAGGATAACTAAATCTTACCGTCTCCTTGTTCAGTGGTCAATAATCAATGCAAGGGCGCAGACCACCGTCTTTCTTCTTCACAAAGAAGAAACTTGAGGAGGCGAGTGAAGTGGAAGGACATATATACCCCTGGCGCAGGGACTCGGCGATGTATGTTTCCATAGCCACCGTTTCAGCCTGCGACAGGGGGTACACATGACTCCTGGGAGGTACAGTGTCTACCCGGAGGTTTATCGCGCAATCCCCCGCCCGATGAGGTGGTAACTTGGTAGCCTGCGTTTTAGAGAACGTGTGCGCCAAATCTAGGTATTTGGGGGGAATGCGCACGGTGGAGGTACTGTCTGGACTTTCCACCGTGGAAACACCTAGACACCTACCCTGACACTCTCGCGACCACCCCGTGAGAACCCTCTGCGGCCATAAAAAGGTGGGGTTGTGGAGTGCTAACCAAGGGAGACCTAATATCACAGGGAAAGCAGGAGACTCAATAATATAAAACGTGACCTGCTCACAATGAGTCTCCTGGGCGATCATGGTGACTGGTGCAGTAACCTCCTTAACAAACCCGGACCCTAATGGTCGACTATCAAGTGCTCTGATGGGGAGTGTAATGGATAGGGGAACCAATGAAATGCCTAGCCGGTGTGAGAATGCCCTGTCCATAAAGTTCCCAGCTGCGCCTGAATCGACTAGCGCCTTACACTGGGGAACTACCATGTGATCACGAAAGTAGATGGGTAGGATACAGTGCGCAGCAGAGGGCTCTGAACGAGTGTGGGTGTTCGATACCTGGGGTGACGCGTGAGTGCCCTGCCTGCCGCCTCCAGACCCAAAAGAGCGCTGACAACAACGTGTGGTGTACCGTCCCTTCGTGCCACCAGTGTGACACGGTCACTGTCGTCCTCCGCTCTCTCGGATGGCGGTTCCACCCAGCTCCATCTGCTCGGGATCCGAGTCGGCCGGGGTGGGAACGGGCAGACCCTTTCCAGGACGTCCTCTGGCTGCCAGCAGGTTGTCCAAAAGAATGGCCATGTCCACCAGTTGTGCGAAGGACAACATGGTGTCACAGCAGGCTAGCTCCCATTGGACGTCCTCCCATAGATGGCACCAGAAATGGTCGATAAGGGCCCGCTCGTTCCACCCGGACCCCGCTGCCAGAGTCCGAAACTCCAAAGCGAAGTCCTGCGCGGTCCTCATCCCCTGCCTCAGGTGGACCAGCCGCTCACCTGCCTCTCGACCTTCGGGCAGGTGATCAAAGACCGCCCGAAAGAGGCGAGCGAACTCCCTGTAGTTCTCCAACGTGGCTCCTCATTCGTTCCACACCGCGTTGGCCCACTCCAGGGCTTTCCCGAGAGGCAGGAGACGAGGGCGGACTCCTTCTCCCGCTCCGATGGGGCCGGCCTGATGCTGGAGAAATAGAGCTCCAGTTGGAGGAGGAATCCTTGGCAGAGCGCCGCCGTCCCGTCGAACTCCTGTGGTCGAGATATCTGGATCCCTCCGGGTGCTGGGGTGTGGGTGGCTGGATCCGGTTGACCAGCTGGTCTCGACAGATCGGGTCCTCTCCTCTCCAGGCATTGGACGACCTGAAGAACCCGATCCATCGCTTCCCCCAAGCTGGCCAGCATCGTGGAATGCTCCTGGACCCGTGCCACAATTCCAGGCATGCGCTCCTCTCCCGCTGACTCAATTGTCAGTGTGGGTGATTCTGTGAGAGTGTGATTTGAAGGAGTCAGGCGTAGGAGGGTAAATCACTGAATACAGAGTTTATTCCGTAGTACACAGTTAGGCTGGATAGCATCAACAGCACAGGGCGTAATACAGGTGCACTGGAACACAATACAAGCACACAGGGAGAAATAACCCCGGCAATACAAAGTACGGGTAGCTCAACCGAGCTACACTCATCTTCACATAAAACAAATCACCCACAAGGACAAGGGGCCAGAGGGAACACTTATACACAGACTAATGAGGGGATATGAACCAGGTGTGTGTAATTGACAAGACAAGACAAATGGAATGATGATATATGGAGCGGCAGTGGCTAGTAAGCCGGTGATGACGATCGCTGAAACCTGCCCGAACAAGGAGGGGAGGCAGCCTCGGCGGAAGTCATGACATTTCACCTGGATTGAAAACAAAGTGTTCCTAATGTTTGGTATACTAAGTGTACAGTGTATAGAATCATTGTACAATCTAAACCACTATTTACCCCACTTTACCCTACCATAAGAACACCTGCAAACGCCGGAAAGGGTGTATTTAGGCTACTCACTCCACGGAAGGGAACACTGCTACCTCGCTCACTCTCTTTGGTCTCCAACCAAGGTGCATTAATAAATTGATGAGCAAACAGAAGTGTATAGGACATTCAACTCATGGAAGACAGTGGAAGTTGATAATCATATAAGTGATTATTTATTTTTAAACGTAAAGCCAACGCATTTCGGCCCTAGCTTTAGGGTTTTACAGAGTGAAAAATGAATAGGAGGCTGGTTTGAAAAAAATCTAAACAATCACTTGATGGCGGACCATAGTCCGGTGCACCTGGTTCAGTATAATCTTACTCTTAACTGTTGAATATTGTAGGTCTACTGAGTACTTACACATTGTACCACACATGCTACTAAGGGGGTTAGTTATCATGATCTTTAGCCTACTCTCTGAACATGTCATCTGTGTGTGGTCTTTGCGCAGCTCACAGAGCCCGCCAATCTTGGGTGCGTTCGAAAATTCGCTCTGGCTATCTACTCCGATTTCAGAGCACTCTCGTCTGAGTGTGCCAGGGCGCAGAATAACTGATGAATTTACGATGAATAACTGATGAACACCCGTTGGATATGACCGGTGTCATAAAAAGCGTAATTAAAGTGTTGCCAGCAGCACAGTTACAGTCACCAACGCTCTGGATAACATGAAAATAACCTAACCAGCTCAGCTAGGGCGAGTAAAATTGTCGGAGTGAGGTGGAAGTGGCTAGCAAGCTAGCCAACATTAGCCAGTTAGCTTGGGTGCTTGACTGCTGTTGTGAGGTCAGAACGCTCGGATCAAGCCTACTCCTCGGCCAGAGCGTCCAGTTTGCGCTCTGAATGCTCCGAGAGCGAAAGGCATTCTGGCACTCCAGATTGAATTTACGAACACACCCATTGATTTCGCGCCAAACAACATTTATCCACGCGCGAGTTTGTGCTCGGTAAACATATACATATACTAAAGCCTGAGTTAGCTAGGCCCTATTCATATTAATTTCATTCCGGTGTAGGTCCCTCCACAAGAATGGAATCAAACATGTCTGAACAGTTCGTTGAAGTTGACAATTTCGGGGTCGAGTTGTTGGAAAATATTGATATGAGGATGGAACCTCAACACAGCCATGAGGAAGTCAGCAGGTAGGCCTATATTTTTATCTACACTGTGTGATTCACAGACAACCCTTGCGGATGTGATAGCCTTGCCTAGGCTAGGTCTATCTACAACAGTTTGATAAGGCTGTTGTGGGCCAGGGCACATAGCCTAGGCTATTAGGTTGAGCTAGTAGGCTAGCCTACATACGAACATCTTATTCTAATCTAGATAATGTGCTTGCAGTTTTTACTACACCTAGGCCATAGGCTTTATTGTCTTAACTGAGTTTCAACTTTAAAGGATACATTTTATGTGGTTAGGCTTATGAAAAAATGACAGGATTGTTTGAATCAGTTTTGAATTTGTGGTCCACATTTCCCATTAATAACTGGTGTAGCTAGTTAGCTTTAGGCTAGACCTATCACCAAAGTTTATTTGGTGATTTCTGATGCTCAGCCAGGAGGTTTTAATCCTCATTGAAAGGGTGATTCTAGAGATAGTCACCAGTCTGTCCAAAGATGAAGCTCCAGTTTTGGTCCTACCCAAGCGATCCAGCTGGGCCAATGTAAGGTAAGCCACTCACTTTGTTACTATAATGTCAAGCTTTTGGGCCATATTCACTCTGTTTGACCTTTGCAAGATAAACACTTAAATCTATACAACAGATGTCTTATTTATGTTGTGTAAATACAGTATAACCCAGTACATTTGAAATAAGTGGTCATGTTGTGTAAACTGAACATTGCACTCAATTTGAAAAGTCAGGTCCTACAAGTGGTCTAAATTGCTGTTAAATGCATTTGGAGGAAATCCTTTAGTTCTTTGTTCTCTCATTCTATCTGAATGTGTAAAAGAGCTAAGAAGTCAAAAGGGATTTGTGGGGTGAAAATTGTGTCGATAGAATCACCGAAAGTTTTGAATCTTAATCCTTGAAGCTGAAATAAATTCCTGACTGAATAGGTGTCAGTTTGATAAAATATTTAAAAAGCACCAGCTACACATAGAAACACACACACACAAATCTGGCGGTTTGTGGAGGTCTTTAATGTGCACAGGCTGAGGAGACCTCATGCTTAGAACAAAACAAACTGTCTGGTTGAGTCTACATCAAACCTCCTTACAGTTTAAAGCACATTCTGGCTCGGCCCTTTCAAATGTGAGAATCCCACAGATAGGGAGGCAAAGGTTTCACAGAGGAAATGCAGTCGAGGTATGGGGAGGCCTATCACAGGTAGCACCCAGGGTTTGGGATTCTTCTAAGAAGGATCATAAAGGTGGCGGGCTCCTTTACAAAACTCATCAAAGATACAATACCAAATATTCCGATTTTGTGAAGAATTCTTTCATGAATAATTTCTTCGTCTTCATTCCCAACTTTGAGTTTTGACAATGCCGTTGGCCTTCAAATGACTTCTGGCAGTTCTGTCACCACAGTTCGGAGCGACTGTTCCTCGTCTGTCACTAAATTTGGTGAGAAGAAAGACACACACCACTGTTAATATGCCCCCCCCCCCCCTCTCTCTCACTTCCCCCTTCCCTCAGCTGTGCACAGACAAAGTTACATTATTTTAATTCACAAACTTTTTAAATTACTCTAAGGAATTTAATCAGCCCTACTTCATGTGGCTTTCATTCTTATCCTCTCTGGGCTTACATGAACTAATTGCAAAAACTGCAAAGACATGGTATGCCTTATGCTGCTGGTCAGAGAAGCTTTCCTGGTGTTATTCACTATGGATTTCATTATCCATCCTAAAGAAAATCCTGAATGAACTACTTTGATGATGAAATACCTATTATCAGATATCATAGGGGATTGATTGAAAGGGTTTCTAGACTGTACTGGTGTATCACAATATACTGGTAGCCTATAATACAGCAGTTTAACTGGGTTTTCTATGCAGGGCACATTCTCAAGGTTCTATCCACCATCTACAAACTTGTGCAGAGCAACAAATATGCTACAAAAAGGTAATGTCTTGTCAGATAGCCAACGCATAAGAAAATACATCCTTGCCTTAACACCAGTACTTTGAGAAGGTGTTCTCTTGTTTCCACAGGGACATCTATTACAACGACACACAGCTTTATGGTTCACAGAGGACTGTCGATTCCATTGTGGATGACATCTCCTGCATGCTCAAGGTTCCACGCAGAAGACTACATGTGGTGTGTATATAGTATGTGAGTGTGTGTGTGCCTCTGTGAGAGTACAATTTCAGTTCAAGAGGAGGTAACAATGGCCTGATGTTGAATAAAACCATACTAAAACATTTGGAAATACCTTTTGATACGACATGTTATGATTAGTTTGAGCCTATTCTCTGCCTCATACAGGAAGCAACCGTGTATGTATTTTCCATGATTTCCATTATCAAAGAGCAATGAAATTAAACTTGACTCAAAAGCATTGTCGTGTGTGTGTGTGTGTGTGTGTGTGTGTGTGTGTGTGTGTGTGTGTGTGTGTGTGTGCACATGCGTATGTGTTTAACGGTCTCCAGCTAGCCACGTCCAAGGGCTTCATCTCAGGTGATCTGTGTTACCTGGAGGAGGACAGCACCAAGGTGGACTGCCACTCTAACTCCACTGTAAGTCCCACTAACACTAACTACATTCCCCCAACAGCTCAGCATCGTCACAGTATGGTCATATGCATATAATGTTAGATACCTATAATGTTAGATATACAGGATCATCATCCGCCATGAACGTTTAACAGTGCTAAACCTCTCCCATTTCAATGACATAACAGAGATCCGTAGTCTCAGCCAAACCTATTAAATCCTGTGTTCACCTCTTTCTGGCCACAATCTCCAGGTTCAACCAATGTACTAATCATTCGATTTACAGCATAATTGTTCAGAAAACAAAAAGAACTCAAACAGTTTACTTGTATTCTGTCTACTGTTTGTGGGTTGCATAAATCAACTGACACCGAAACAGCTAGATTCATATCTCATTATACTTTTTTTGTTTGAAAGCTAACAGTAACTTGCTATGTTGACAATTGTGTCTCTCTTATTGTGTCTCTTAATTGTGTTCTCAGGCTACTCCAGTTTCTTCTAATGTTGGCGGAATCAGGAGTATCCTTTATAATCATGTCAGAACTCATATTTCAGCAATATTGTAACAAGTTTGTAAGACTTCCTTCCTCTTTTAACTAACTCCTCCAACTCTTATCTATTGGTGAGGAAGAGTCCATCAGTCATGTTTGTGTTCACCTTGACCCGTTCTCCAGACATTGTGTCATCTGCTAAGTTTGTTTTGATAGTGGAGAAGGACGCCACCTTCCAGAAACTGCTTGATGATGACTTTTGCACCAAGCTATCTCCTTGCATCATGATCACAGTATATCCTACTTATGGTTTTCTTTTGAGCTATTGCTTTAAATTGAATGTGCTAATCATATGATTTATTGTAAATCTGTTATGTGTTTGTGTCAGGGTAAAGGTGTCCCAGATGTGAACAGCAGGCTGATGGTGAGAAAGCTTTGGGACACCCTGCACATCCCTATATTTGCTCTGGTGGATGCTGACCCTTATGGTAATACTCTCCACTCTTTTATCCTATCAGACACACACACACACACACACACACACAGGGGTTGCGTGTCCTGCTAAGCCGACATGCCTCTCTGATGTGTCAGGGTGGTTAGAATGGGGATTGTGTTAGTGTGTTCTAGCCCAGTGGAATCATCACACTGGGGCCCCTGGACTCACTGACACAGACTGTCCCTCTCCATACAGCACCTCTCTGCTCCCCTCCGCTCTCCTCACATCACATGGCGAGTCGCATGTGTAACACTTTACTTTGTTCTCTGTCCCCTTAGCTACATATCTCAGAGGATAATTGCTCTGGTATGGTGGTGATTGTATCGTGTCTCTTTCCCTCTCTTTCTCTTTCTGTCTCACTCTAATTTTCGCAGGGATTGAGATCATGTGCATCTACAAGTATGGATCAGTGGTGAGTCCTGCCGTGCCTGTGTATTTCTGTACATTATACAACGTGGCTTGTGCAGTGTCTCGGTGCAAGAAATATGTCATTATTCTCCTCTTAAAGTTGAAAAAGGGGAGCGGTCAACCATATCTGAGCATTTGAAGTGGCATGAAGTGGAAAAGTAAAGTGATTGCGTGGGATCTCATTTGTGTGAGGTTTTTGTATGTGTGTTTCTGGTTTATATGATCTAATCTAATTTTATTTGTCACATGCGCCGAATACAACAGGTGAAATGCTTACTTACAAGCACTTAACCAACAATGCAGTTTTAAGAAATGGAATCACAATAAAATAACAATAATGAGCCTATATACAGGGGGTACAGGTACCGAGTCAATGTGTGGGGGCACAGGTTAGTCGAGGTAATTTGTACATGTGGGTAGGGGTAAAGTCACTATGAAAAGATAATAAACAGCGAATAGCAGCAGTGTCAATGCAAATAGTCCGGGTGGCCATTTGATTAATTGTTCAGCAGTCTTATGGCTTTGGGGTAGAAGCTGTTAAGGAGCCTTTTGGACCTAGACTTGGCGCTCTGGTACCGCTTGCCGTGCGGTAGCAGAGAGAACAGTCTGTGACTTGGGTGACTGGAGTCTTTGACAATTTTTTGGGCCTTCCTGTGACATTGCCTAGTATATAGGTCCTGGATGGCAGGACGCTTGGCCCCAATGATGTACTGGGCTATACACACTACCCTCTGTAGCGCCTTACGGTCGGATGCCAAGCAGTTGCCATACCAGGCGGTGATGCAAACGGTCAGGATGCTCTCGATGGTGCAGCTGTAGAACTCTTTCAGGATCTGGAGACCCATGCCAAATCTTTTCAGTGTCCTGAGGGGGAAAAAGCGTTGTCGTGCCCTCTTCAAGACTTTCTTGGTGTGTTTGGACCATGATAGTTTGTTGGTGATGTGGACACCAAGGAACTTGAAACTCTCGACCCGCTCCACTACAGCCCCGTCGATATGAAATGGGGTGTGTTCGGCCCTCCTTTTCTTGTAGTCCACGATCATCTCCTTTGTCTTGCTCACGTTGAGGGAGAGGTTGTTGTCCTGGCACCACACTGCCAGGTTTCTGACCTCCTCCCTATAGACTGTCTCATCATTGTCAGTGATCAGGCCTACCACTGTTGTGTCGTCAGCAAACTTAATGATGGTGTTGGAGTCGTGCTTGGCCACGCAGTCGTGGGTGAACAAGGAGTACAGGAGGGGACTAAGCACGCACACCTGAGGGGCCCCCGTGTTGAGGATCAGCGTGGCAGATGTGTTGTTGCATACCCTTACCACCTGGGGGTGCCCGTCAGAAGTCCAGGATCCAGTTGCAGAGGGAGGTGTTTAGTCCCAGGGTCCTTAGCTTAGTGATGAACTTTGTGGGCACTATGGTGTTGAACGCTGAGCTGTAGTCAATTAACAGCATGCTCATATAGGTGTTCCTTTTGTCCAGGTGGGAAAGGGCAGTGTGGAGTGAGATTGAGATTGCGTCATCTGTGGATCTGTTGGGGCGGTATGCGAATTGGATTGGGTCTAGTGTTTCCGGGATGATGGTGTTGATGTGAGCCATGACCAGCCTTTCAAAGCACTTCATGGCTACCGACGTGAGTGCTACGGGGCGGTAGTCATTTAGGCAGGTTACCTTCGCTTTCTTGGGCACAGGGACTATGGTGGTCTGCTTGAAACATGTAGGTATTACAGATTCGGTCAGGGAGAGTTTGAAAATGTCAGTGAAGACACTTGCCAGTTGGTCCGCGCATGCTCTGAGTACACGTCCTGGTAATCCGTCTGGCCCCGCGGCCTTGTGAATGTTGACCTGTTTAAAGGTCTTGCTCACATCGGCTACGGAGAGCGTGATCACACAGTCGTCCGGAACAGCTGGTGCTCTCATGCATGCTTCAGTGTCGCTTGCCTCGAAGCGAGCATAAAAGGCATTTAGCCCGTCTGGTAGGCTCGCATCACTGGGCTGCTCGTGGCTGGGTTTCCCTTTGTTGTCCGTAATAGTTTGCAAGCCCTGCCACATCCGACGAGCGTCAGAGCCAGTGTAGTAGGATTCAATCTTAGTCCTGTATTGACGCTTTGCCTGTTTGATGGCATAGTGGGAATCCTTATAAGCGTCCGGATTAATGTCCCGCTCCTTGAAAGCAGCAGCTCTAGCCTTTAGCTCGGTGAAGATGTTGCCTGCATTAAAGTCCAAGGCCACTAGGAGCGCCGCTTCTGGATGAGCATTTTCTTGTTTGCTTATGGCCTTATACAGCTCGTTGAGTGCAGTCTTAGTGCCAGCGTCGGTTTGTGGTGGTAAATAGATGGCTACGAAAAATATAGGTGAAAACTCTTGGTAGATAGTGTGGTCTACAGCTTATCATGAAGTACTCTACCTCAGGGGAGCAATACCTTGAGACTACCTTAATATTAGATCTCGCACAGGCTGTTATTGACAAATAGACACACACCCCCACCCCTCGTCTTACCGGACGTAGCTGTTCTGTCCTGCCGATGCACGGAAAACTCAGCCAACTGTATATTATCCGTGTCGTAGTTCAGCCACGACTCAGTGAAACATAAGATAGTACAGTTTTTAATGTTCTGTTGGTAGGATAGTCTCGAACGGAGCTCATCCGGTTTATTCTCCCCGTGATTGCACATTGGCCAATAGAACGGATGGTAGAGGCGGGTTACCGATGCACGGAAAACTCAGCCAACTGTATATTATCTGTGTCGTAGTTCAGCCACGACTCAGTGAAACATAAGATAGTACAGTTTTTTATGTTCTGTTGGTAGGATAGTCTCGAACGGAGCTCATCCAGTTTATTCTCCCCGTGATTGCACATTGGCCAATAGAACGGATGGTAGAGGCGGGTTACCCACTCGCCGGCGAATTCTCACAAGGCACCCTGATCTCCGCCTCCTGTATTTCCTTCTTTTCTTCATGCGAATGACGGGGATTTGGGCCTTGTCTGGGAGCAACATTATATCCTTCGCTTCAGACTCATTAAATAAAAAATCTTTGTCCAATTCGAGGTGAGTAATCGATGTTCTGATATCCAGAAGCTCTTTTTGGTCATAAGAGATGGTAGCATCAACATTATGTATAAAATAAGTTACAAACAATGCGAAAAACACACAAAATACCATTGGTTAGGAGCCCGTAAAACGGCAGCCACCCCCTCCGGTGCCATTACTACTACCCCAGGTGGACTTGTGTGTCTGAATGTGTATGTCTGTGTGGTTTTATGTACTATATGCATGTGTATGGTTGTATGTATTCACATATGTGTGTTTTATACACAGTTTGTCAACCTGTCTGTCTGTCTGGTTGTGTATTGACGTGTTTCTATGTGTATATCTTTCCCTTCAGGCCATGTCGTTTGAGGCCCACAGTCTGACCGTCCCCAGCATTATGTGGCTAGGCCTCCTCCCCTCTGACCTCCAGAGGTTTGGTGACAACCACTCGCTACTTCCTCCTTCCTCCTCCCTACCTCTAATTGGGATTATATTCTGGGGATTTGGAGATTGTTTGTTTTGGTTTCTGTTGCTGTTGCCTTCGCTTTTTTCTCTCTCCCTGAGGAGCTGTTTTGGAGGGTATATTGAGTTTTAAGTATATGTCAGCTGGAGCAGTCTTAGCCTGAAAAGGGGGTTTTGACATAAGTAAAGTTTAATTGTAGTCTGCAAGCCTGCTCCTCCTAAGACTCCAACTGTACAGTACATTATCAAAAGTATCCACATCTTATACAGTTTGGACAGAAATGGAGAGAGCCGTAACATTGTGTCAGGGTATTTCCTTTGTTTCAGTTGTAACAACATAATTAGTATTTATATCTTAATATGGTCATTTAGAAGACCATCATCCAAAGCTATATACAGTTAAGATATGTTTGGTATATGTCTCATAATATGACTGTTCACCTCTTGAACTGACTGAAATGAAAACTGTACTGATCATAACCCTTCTGTACTTTAGATTGAGAGTACCTGAGGATGCTCTGATCCCCCTCACACAGAGAGACCAGAGTAAACTGACCAGCCTGCTGAAGAGACCCTACCTGGCCTGCCAACCTGCCTGGCAGAGAGAGGTAAGAGGGGGAGGGCTACCTTTTATGAGTGGTTTACATACAATACAAATATGGAAAGGGAGAGAAAGAAGAATGTGTGCAGTTTGTCTGTTATTAGAAATAAGGGAGAAAAATGTTAAAGAAGAGAATGTGTGCTTTACCCAGTTTGTATTCCCACCTCTCAAGCCGTTCAGAGAATGGTTGAATGCAATGTGGGTTGGTCTGTTTAGTAAACATGTCCCTAGTCTCCACTACCCTGCTCTGAAGAAACTGTACACTTGTAGTCCTTCACTCCTGTTTAACAAGACAAGGCGGCGTTCTGTGAGTGTGTTTTTACTACAATTTAGACGTTTTGCAGGTGTGACACAGCACAGTGGAATGTGTTTGAGAGAGCTGTCAGCTCCCTGGTATTTGGGATACTTCGAGATACCAGCTCTGTTGTGAAATATATTGAACAAAAATATAAACTTCAACGTTTTTACTGAGTTACAGTTCATATAAGGAAATCAGTCAATTGAAATAAATTCATTAGGCCCTAATCTATGGATTTCACATGACTGGGCAGGGGTGCAGCCATGGGTGAGCCTTGGATGGCATAGGCCCACCCGCTTGGCAGCCAAGTCCACCCACTGGGGAGCCAGGCCCAGCCAATCAGAATGTGTTTTTCTCCACAAAAGGGCTTTATTACAGACAGAAATACACCTCAGCACCCCCCCCCCCCCCCCCACCCCACCCTCAGACTATCCCGCAGGTGAAAAAGCCGGATGTGGAGGTCCTGGGCTGGCGTGGTTACACATAATCTGCGGTTGTGAGGCCAGTTGGAAGTACCGCCAAATTCTCTAAAACAACGTTGGAGGCAGTTTATGGTAGAGAAATGAACATTAAATTCTCTGGCAACAGATCTGGTGGACATTCCTGCAGTCAGCATGCCAATTGCACGCATCTGTGGCATTGTGTTGTGTGACAAAACTGCACATTTTAAAGTGGGCTTTTATTGTCACCAGCACAAGGTGCACCTGTGTAATGATCATGCTGTTTAATCAGCTTCATTCTATGCCACACCTGTCAGGAGGATGGATTATCTTGGTTAAGGAAAAATGCTCACTAACAGGGATGTAAACAAATTTGTGCACAGAATTTGAGAGAAATAAGCTTTTTATGCGTATAGATCATGTCTGGGATTTTTTATTTCAGCTCATGAAACATGGGACCAACACTTTACATGTTGTGTTTATATTTTTGTTCAGTGGTAGATAAGATCACACCTGGTGGTCCAGGATGAACTCTGTTTGCTCATCTTCCTCTTGCACATCTCTTAAGACATGTTTTGTCGTTGTTGCAGATGGAAATGATGCATCGGAGCAAGGTGAAAGCTGAGATCCAGTCACTGGCGTCCATAGCCCCTGATTACCTCAGCCGTGTCTACCTACCCAATAAGCTGCGCTACGGCGGCTGGATATGATCACACACTGCCCCTCTGTGGACGGTGGGATGTGGGATTTGATTTGGCTGGATTCAAGCACTCATGTATGGATGTGGTACAGTTGCAGTGTCTGTCTGCATATTTTACATTTACATTTTAGTCATTTTAGCAGACGCTCTTATCCAGTTACCCAATCCTGTCTGTCACACAGTGACCTGAATGTAAAATTGTACATCACATTTTTATATTATTGATTATTTTACGTCATTATATTATATGACGTGTATATTTAACTCAATTATTCCAGATTAGAGTATCAATCCACCTGAAATGGCCAATTGACTGTGATTGACTGTGTCCTTGATGGTAATGTACCTGTGGATACTAAAAATGTAAATTTTCTGCCACTTGTATTAAATCAAATCAAATCAATTTGTATTTGTCACATGCTTCATAAACAACAGGTGTAGACTAACAGTGAAATGCTTACTTACGGGCTCTTCCCAACAATGAAGAGAGAAAAATACTAGAAAAATAATAACACGAGGAATAGATACACAATGAGTAACGATATCTTGGCTATATTCAAGGGGTACCAGTACCGAGTCGATGTGCAGGAGTACGAGGTAATTGAGATAGATATGTACATATAGGTAGGGGTAAAGTATTGTCTAAAGTTTTGTTGGTCTCCTGGAAGTATTGACTGGTCCAGTGCTAGGTAGGTGTTGCAGACTTTACTTTCCATAGAGGACAAGGCTATGGTATCTTCAAACAAATCCTGTGGGTGTATTTAGACACCGTGATATACAGACAGTAGCTGCTAATAATTGTGCACCCAGCTTCTTGTGGCCACTAGTCAAAGGTAATGCCTCCACCCCGGTACCTTCTGTGAGTGGTCATATACAATTTTTCCTATTGTCATGTGGTCATGGAAAAATATATGTAACCAATAATATGTAACACCATATAATGATTAGTATGTGCCACCAGATGGAGACAGTGATCATTGGCGCTTATGGAACATCATTTTCATTACGAGACGCTGGCAGGGTTTCCACAAGCTTCTCTGACCACGAAGTCAGATTTGACAGTTACAAAGTCAAAATTGGCACAACAACAACAAAAGCTTTTTGGTCTTCATTTAAGGTTAGTGTTAGGCATAAGGTTGGCAGTGTGGTTAAGGTTAGGGTTAGGTTTAAAATCAAATTTTAAGAAGATAAATTGTAGAAATGGGCGGGGTTTATGATTTAGTGGCTATAGCAGCTATTGACGACCCTTTGGCAGGCGTGGCTCCTTACGTGGAAAACAGACAGATTGTGAGAACGAGACCAGAGAAACATCATCAGGTAAACAAACGACATTTGAAAACCAATAACTGCACGGAATGTGCGCCGTCTAGGTAGCTAGCTAGCTAGCTTGCTTACTTATGACACTTACTGGCTTCGCTGGATTGTTGTAGCAAGCGCATCCTCCATCAGCTTTCCACAACTAACGTAACGTTAGCTGGTTAGCTAGCCACAGACAGTCTGGATAATAATCAATAATTTGACATTGATCTCTTCGCTGCTAATTAGAGAGAAAAGAGAGACGTTGTCACCCTGTGGTCGCTGCCAAATAGTAGGGTATTAGAAATAGAGCGTGGCTCCGTGTTTACTTTTTTTTGGGTGTAAATGCTCTATCTGGTCTGAGTATGGTAACGATTGGTTCTAGCTAGCTATAGTGTTCGATCAGAAAGTTGTCTAGCCACAAAATTGCATTGCTTTTTGAAGGAAGCCTGCAAATTGTTGCACAGTTGTTGTAAGTAAGTAAGTTATAGCTTGTCAATCAAATCATATCAATGTTGAAGCTCACAGATATTATTTTCTCCTATTAATTTTCACTGAGTTTGTTTTGATCATTGGTAAATGTTGATAAATGTATGTATGTCTACGAGACCTCTATCAAATTTAGACAGGGTAACCTTCGTTGTAAACCAATCCAAAAACGTAAAGTATGTGGAATTGATCATGCCATATAGCACCCAGCTAATTGGCTATGACCTTTACAGTGACTGCTTGTAGCAGTGAGTAGGTTATAGTATAGCTATGATTCCTTGAAAAAAGAGGGTAGAGTTACCTCACCCGACTTGTTGCTAGATAGTCAGACCATAACCCTAACAAGGACTGGCAATGGCTGTGGCTGTGCATACAGTGTCAATGGGTCTTTGCATTACATGAGCTGTGATGCAACATTGACCCACCCCCAGCCCCTGGTTTGATAAAGATGGAAGGTATAGATGGAATGGTAGTCCTAGGTTATATTACAATTATTCACTTGAACAGACAGATGGTTGTGCTGTCTTTTGTGTTTGGTAAGTCTCCTCTCAGCTGTTGTAGTCTTATGTGTTGTTGTCCATGGTTTCAGGACAGGCTCTTGAGTGGCCCTCATGTTTTTCCTCTTGTCAAGGGCAGCTGACTACAAGCTGAAGGAAAGCGATGCCTCGGGCTATGAGCATTTTACATCTACTCTTCTCTGTATGTTGGTTAGCTTAGTATCTGTTCAGTCATGTTTCGAAAGGTATTTTCCCTCTGTTCGGTCAAAGTGGAATGGGATGTTTTCAGGTAAAGAATGTTTGTTCTTTTTAAATGGCTGAGACTATTTGGACTTTTAGCCTTTTAATGAATTTCAACATTTTTGCATCGATCTTTATGCTCATGATAGGCTATATTTTGTGGTTGTTCGTATTCATAATACAACATAGCCTTGTCTTGCCTAAATGTCTGGTCTCTTTAGATCTCTTGAGGACTGATTGTTTTAGGCCAATGCTTTTGATTCGTTAGAATATTCAATTTATTTTCATGTTTTGTTTTGAAGTTGGAGCGCAACTTGAGATGAAAGCCTGGTGATTCTAATTTGATCTCACTTGATGATGGTCAAAAGTGGCCTACACAGACAAAGCTTAGTGTGGTAGCCCTCTCTGACCCCCCCAGCTTATATAAATAGACCTCTGATCTCCGCTGATCGTGTTTCACCGCCTCACCAAATGCACCCAGCTCTGCCGTCCATCTGATCCGCTGTCAGTCTGGGACCAGAAAGGAGATCGTATTTGATTCCAGTGGTAGGCTAAACCAACATGTCTCTTCCTTTCCCCTTCCCAGATTTAGAGGGTCTAAGATGGACGCTGTTATCCGCCGATGTCCCTTCCTGACCATGGTGCCCCGGGCGTTCCTGCAGCTGGCAGGGAAGTCATCCCTGGTGGGCTATGCCCTGAAGTGCCCTGTGATGATGGACCTGGCCTCACGCCCTCTGGCCAGAGCTCTCTCCTCTTCAGTCTCAGTGTCCACACCAACAAACGACGGTGAGCACAGTAGTTCCCCATAGTCACTTATTATAAACGGTTTCAGATGGGCTACGTTATGGATTTATTGTATAGAGGAGCAATGTTGTTGTGCTATTTTACTAATCTAGCTTGAGGCTTGCTTATGGTAGGGCTCAATGCCTCTTTGTAAACAAATTGCTCTTAATCAAATTACTGTGCAAATGTGACTGCTAACTCGCCCATACAAATAGTCATAAATGTAACCTAATTTATGTTGAATACTCCTCTATTAAGGCTGTGAAGAATCTTACACTTGCTCAACCGCGTTTTATTTTATTTTCATATTTTCCTCAGTGCACAAATAGGCCTAAATAATTGAATAAAATATATATAAATGTATTTAAGTTAATCAAATATAAATCCTCCTCTTGTTGTCAGTGTAGAGTCAGAGAAGGGGGTCCAGCTGCCCCCGAGCCACCCCATGTCCCCTGTTGGGCAGCCCGTGGGCTCCAAATGCCCCTTCCTGGCGGCTGAGATGGTGCAGAAGAACACCAGCGTGGTGAGGGAGGCCTGCATCGAGCTGTCAGAGGACGTACAGGACAGGAGCACAGTCCACACAGGTAAACATGTGACCTGTCTTTGACCTTCTCCACTCAGTTGTGTAAGCAGAGGTCAGTTATGTATGTGTTAGGAAAGCTTGGAATGGATAGTCACCTTTCAAGGAATTTGTCATAGTAAAAACGTGTCATAGAAGGAGTTTAGTTGATCACTCTTTAACAGTGTTTATCCCCCTTTATTGATACAGAGAAGTCCCAAGTGGATCCCACTGTGGTGGACCTGATCAATATTGACAGGGCTGACCTAGGCACCCTGAAGACCATGCTGAAACAGCGCCCCCCCAAGGTCTCTCACTTACTGCGAGACAACCTGCCCAAAGGTAAGCACCTGCTCACGTGTCCTCGTACACTTGGGGCCAATGTTTCCTCTAAGCTGCGCGCGCAGAGAAGCACGAGATTGAACTTCACTCAACTTTTTAGAGTTTTCCCTGTTAGTTAACAGTATCAACGTTTCCCTTTACTGTGGGAATTGTGATAGAATCAACGCAATATTAGCCACTTTCAGTGCAACATAAAGAAAATGAACTATGCAAGAGATTTAGTTGTAGGCAGAGCGCATCGGAATAGGATTCTATTGCATTGACAGGCACGACTCAGGGCTGTACTCTACAGTCGTGGTCAAAAGTTTTGAGAATGACACAAGTATTGGTCTTCACAAAGTTTGCTGCTTCTGTGTTTTTAGATATTTTTGTCAGATGTTACTATGCTATACTGAAGTATAATTACAAGCATTCCAGAAGTGTCAAAGGCTTTTATTGACAATTACATTAAGTTTATGCAAAGAGTCAATATTTTCAGTGTTGACCCTTCTTTTTCAAGACCTCTGCAATCCGCCCTGGCATGCTGTCAATTCACTTCTGGGCCACATCCTGACTGATGGCAGCCCATTCTTGCATAATCAATGCTTGGAGTTTGTCCGAATTTGTGGGTTTTTGTTTGTCCACCTGCCTCTTGAGGATTGACCACAAGTTCTCAATGGGATTAAGGTCTGGGGAGTTTCCTGGCCATGGACCCAAAATTTCGATGTTTTGTTCCCCGAGCCACTTAGTTATCACTTTTGCCTGATGGCAAGGTGCTCCATCATGCTGGAAAAGGCATTGTTCGTCACCAAACTGTTATTGGATGGTTGGGAGAAGTTGCTCTCAGAGGATGTGTTGGTACCATTCTTTATTCATGATTGTGTTTTTAGGCAAAATTGTGAGTGAGCCCACTCCCTTGGCTGAGAAGCAACCCCACACATGAATGGTCTCAGGATGCTTTACTGTTGGCATGACACAGGACTGATGGTAGCGCTCACCTTGTCTTCTCCGGACAAGCTTTTTTCTGGATGCCCCAAACAATTGGAAAGGGGATTCATCAGAGAAAATGACTGTACCCCAGTCCTCAGCAGTCCAATCCCTGTACCTTTTGCAGTATATCAGTCTGTCCCTAATATTTTTCCTGGAGAGAAGTGGCTTCCTCGCTGCCCTTCTTGACACCAGGCCATCCTCCAAAAGTCTTCGCCTCACTGTGCATGCAGATGCACTCACACCTGCCTGCTGCCATTCCTGAGCAAGCTCTGCACTGGTGGTGCCCCGATCCTGCAGCTGAATCAACTTTAGGAGACGGTCCTGGCACTTGCTGGACTTTCTTGGGCGCCCTGAAGCCTTCTTTACAACAATTGAACCTCTCTCCTTGAAGTTCTTGATGATCCGATAAATGGTTGATTTAGGTGCAATCTTACTAGCAGCAATATCCTTGCCTGTGAAGGCCTTTTTGTGCAAAGCAATGATGATGGCACATGTTTCCTTGCAGGTAACCATGGTTAACAGAGGAAGAACAATGATTTCAAGCACCACCCTCCTTTTAAAGCTTCCAGTCTGCTATTCTAACACAATCAGCATGACAGAGTGATCTCCAGCCTTGTCCTCGTCAACACTCTCACCTGTGTTAACGAGAGAATCACTGACATGATGTCAGCTGGTTCTTTTGTGGCAGGGCTGAAATGCAGTGGAAATGTTTTTGGAAGATTAAGTTCATTTTCATGGCAAAGAGGGACTTTGCAATTCATCTGATCACTCTTCATAACATTCTGGAGTATATGCAAATTGCCATCATAAAAACTGAGGTAGCAGACTTTGTGAAAATTAAGATTTGTGTCATTCTCAAAACGTTTGACCACGACTGTACACAGACCGGTGCGCCATAACCAATCAGAGCTGCAGTAGGCTTATATGCAAATAGACTATTGCCATATGGATTTGTGCAATTCACTTTGAACTGTTTTACAGCATGAGCGGTTGTGATTATTATGTGCTTGTTTTGAGATCAAAGCGAGAGCTGCATGTACTGTAGCCACGTGTGCACATTTGTTCATATTCTTTGCTAGTTAGTGAGATATTAGCACAGTTATCGATAATTTGTAGTCAGCAATGTGGGAGTGATTGTTTCCTACAAGTGCACAAAATGTGTACATTTCTAGCTGTCTTTGAAAATAATCAGGTAAAGATATATATTTTTTTTATGTCTTAAAGGGGCGGTGTTGTATTTTGAGACAGGCTTGAATAAGCTAAGTAGCCAATAAGCAGAGGGTGGCATAATTGAATCTTATTTTTGTATATTTTTTTATTAGGGGGTAGATTAGCTTTAATATTGCAGATAGATTGTAACTTCATCAATGTAATTGTCGGCATTACTTCCAATCCCCCATATGGTTTTTTATTTTTCTCTCGCATATACAGTGGGGAAAAAAAGTATTTAGTCAGCCACCAATTGTGCAAGTTCTCCCACTTAAAAAGATGAGAGATGCCTGTAATTTTCATCATAGGTACACATCAACTATGACAGACAAAATGAGGAAAGAAAATCCAGAAAATCACATTGTAGGATTTTTAATGAATTTATTTGCAAATTATGGTGGAAAATAAGTATTTGGTCAATAACAAAAGTTTCTCAATACTTTGTTATATACCCTTTGTTGGCAATGACACAGGTCAAACGTTTTCTGTAAGTCTTCACAAGGTTTTCACACACTGTTGCTGGTATTTTGGCCCATTCCTCCATGCAGATCTCCTCTAGAGCAGTGATGTTTTGGGGCTGTCGCTGGGCAACACAGACGTTCAACTCCCTCCAAAGATTTTCTATGGGGTTGAGATCTGGAGACTGGCTAGGCCACTCCAGGACCTTGAAATGCTTCTTACGAAGCCACTCCTTCATTGCCCGGGCGGTGTGTTTGGGATCATTGTCATGCTGAAAGACCCAGCCACGTTTCATCTTCAATGCCCTTGCAGATGGAAGGAGGTTTTCACTCAAAATCTCACGATACATGGCCCCATTCATTCGTTCCTTTACACAGATCAGTCGTCCTGGTCCCTTTGCAGAAAAACAGCCCCAAAGCATAATGTTTCCACCCCCATACTTCACAGTAGGTATGGTGTTCTTTGGATGCAACTCAGCATTCTTTGTCCTCCAAACACGACGAGTTGAGTTTTTACCAAAAAGTTCTATTTTGGTTTCATCTGACCATATGACATTCTCCCAATCCTCTTCTGGATCATCCAAATGCACTCTAGCAAACTTCAGACAGGCCTGGACATGTACTGGCTTAAGCAGGCGGACACGTCTGCACTGCAGGATTTGAGTCCCTGGCGGCGTAGTGTTTTACTGATGGTAGGCTTTGTTACTTTGGTCCCAGCTCTCTGCAGGTCATTCACTAGGTCCCCCCGTGTGGTTCTGGGATTTTTGCTCACCGTTCTTGTGATCATTTTGACCCTACGGGGTGAGATCTTGCGTGGAGCCCCAGATCGAGGGAGATTATCAGTGGTCTTGTATGTCTTCCATTTCCTAATAATTGCTCCCACAGTTGATTTCTTCAAACCAAGCTGCTTACCTATTGCAGATTCAGTCTTCCCAGCCTGGTGCAGGTCTACAATTTTGTTTCTGGTGTCCTTTGTCAGCTCTTTGGTCTTGGCCATAGTGGAGTTTGGAGTGTGACTGTTTGAGGTTGTGGACAGGTGTCTTTTATACTGATAACAAGTTCAAACAGATGCCATTAATACAGGTAACGAGTGGAGGACAGAGGAGCCTCTTAAAGAAGAAGTTACAGGTCTGTGAGAGCCAGAAATCTTGCTTGTTTGTAGGTGACCAAATACTTATTTTCCACCATAATTTGCAAATAAATTCATAAAAAATCCTACAATGTGATTTTCTGAATTTTTTTTTCTCAATTTGTCTTTCATAGTTGACGTGTACCTATGATGAAAATTACAGGCCTCTCTCATCTTTTTAAGTGGGAGAACTTGCACAAATAGTGGCTGACTAAATACTTTTTTCCCCCACTGTGTGTATATATATATATATATATATATATATATATATATATATATATATATATATATATATATATATACATATATATACACACACACACACAGTGGGGAGAACAAGTATTTGATACACTGCTGATTTTGCAGGTTTTCCTACTTACAAAGCATGTAGAGGTCTGTAATTTTTATCATAGGTACACTTCAACTGTGAGAGACGGAATCTAAAACAAAAATCCAGAAAATCACATTGTATGATTTTTAAGTAATTAAGTTGCATTTTATTGCATGACATAAGTATTTGATACATCAGAAAAGCAGAACTTAATATTTGGTACAGAAACCTTTGTTTGCAATTACAGAGATCATACGTTTCCTGTAGGTCTTGACCAGGTTTGCACACACTGCAGCAGGGATTTTGGCCCACTCCTCCATACAGACCTTCTCCAGGTCCTTCAGGTTTCGGGGCTGTCGCTGGGCAATACGGACTTTCAGCTCCCTCCAAAGATTTTCTATTGGGTTCAGCTCTGGAGACTGGCTAGGCCACTCCAGGACCTTGAGATGCTTCTTACGGAGCCACTCCTTAGTAGCCCTGGCTGTGTGTTTCGGGTCGTTGTCATGCTGGAAGCACGACCCATCTTCAATGCTCTTACTGAGGGAAGGAGGTTGTTGGCCAAGATCTCGCGATACATGGCCCC